CACATACAGAAAAAAGAGCAGGGAGGAGGAAGAAAGAGTTTTAAAAGGGGATGGTGGAAGGTCTCAACGAGGTGATATTCGAGTGAAGACATGGAGAAGGTGAGGGAATGAACCATGTGGGAAACTCAGAGAAAAGCATTCTAGGCAGGACACCTTAAGGGATGGGCAGGGAGCAGGCAGCAGACTTGCTGAAACATTCTCTGTTGACCAACTCAACCCCCCGACTAGACAGCGAGCTCCTCGGGTACGGTGACATCCCAGAGGCTGAGCACACAGGAGGCACTGCTAAATGAGAAACCTGGGGCTTCAGTTTTGAGTGAAGCATCACCTTCACCACGAGCTTTTGTGGAGCTGGGACCCTGAGGCTGGCGCAGTCCATTTTCAGCTACACTGCGCAGTCCCCATAGGCTGCCCATTTCATGCTGAGGGGAAAAACACATCTGACACCCCAGTCCTGATCTCTTGAAGTGGATCTGTGCACTGGGGGCCTCTACAGCATCTCCTTAAGAAAGGAAAGGCAAAGGAGAGACAAGGGGGATGCAACATGCCTAAGACCCTGCCAGCAGCAGGGAGACCTGACTTTAACTGAACACTACGGTCTTACACCATCTTCCTACTGTCTGCAAGAAAAAAATGGAGCTGTTATAAATCCAAAGAACAAGTCAAATTAACGTCATGTCTCCTAATGCTTTAAGAAATGGGGTTCAAGGACACTGGGTTATATGGCAGAATGCAAACATTTGTCACTACAGGGGAGCCCTTGTTTTCTGTGTAGCAAGCACTGTCAGCAGGTGAAAAGTACAGCTAAGACCAGGCCAAATCAAGACTAGATTCCAGGGGATTTTGCACTACGTAGCCCCAACCCCCCACATCCCCTCCACCCGCCCTCCAACCTTCCCAGAGGTAAAATCTGCCTGATAACGCAGGTGAAGATGCTCCAAAAAGGGGGACAAGGTCACAGACAAGAACACCAAGACATCCACCTGGGAGAACTCGGGAGCCCACCTGGGGAAGAGAAAGGGAACAGTGGGGGTGAGAGGCAGGCTTCAAGCCACATCCTACTGAGTCAGAGTGGCAGAGAATCACTCACAGGGCAGCCCAGCACACAGGAACATATGATCCAGGGCCAAGGGCTTGACCACACCTGTGCTTTCTTCAGGAAGATTTACAGAGGTGTGAGAAGTGTTCAGAGAATCGATAACCATTCAAGTATTTGAAAATAATCTTCCAAATTCCAAGGGGTCAGGCAAAATGATCCTTGAATATGTAAACAACTATTACATCTACGTATTTTATGTTATGTGAGCACTTTCAGGCATAATGAAGCCTCTTGAATAATCAGTGTACCACATGGTTAAACTCTTTAGGTACAATTTTACCACTTGAAATGAGTTTAGAAATGTCATACCTTGGGTTTTACAACATGTGGTTCACAAGCATCCTTGCTTAGAAATACCACCTCCCTGCCCCAACCCTAAACCACAACGCTATGCTTTAGAAGACGAGATCTTCTCTATGATCTGTATTCAACAGCTTCCGGGAACAAGTGATGGCTGGTGGTACTCACCTAAACGGAAACCCCTAGCTGATACTGTACTCAAATTCTGAGCAAGCATTCCACACTCCAAGGAGAGGCTAAGAAGCTGCAAGCGGGACTTTTAAAATACACTTGGTCATGGCGATCTTTAGTGCCCCCAAGTGGCCATACGTGATGTGACATCCTCAACAGGGAGTTCTGTCCTGAGGGTGGAAGAGACAGCTGAAAAAATGTTATCAGAACAGGATGGTTAGGAATGAAGATACTAAATATCAGAGCTGAGAGAACTCAGAAAAGAATGGCCCCTTTTATATTGTTATTTCCTCTACCATAAAAGTTTGGTAAAAGAGAGGAAAGATTGAGAAATGTTGAAATTGAGTCAGAATTGTGTTTTTGTCCAGCTCCATGGCTCAGGACAAATTGTCTCTGATCTATCATGAAGAAAATGAGAATAACCATCCCTGATTATGAAAATTATAAAGCATGGATGTGACTTTTTGTTTTAAACTTTTACATGAAAAGTATCTCTATGCATCTTTTTGTAACCTGTTTTTTCAATTTAGCTCTGCATTTAAACATCTTGTAGAGATTGATGCAGTACAAACATTATTAGTAGTCAACACCAAAAAGATATGTTAGTAAGGGGGAGAAAAGAGGAATGTGGATTGAAGAGGACATCATGTAATAAATTTATTATATTTTGTTACATTTTCCACTTTTCTCTTAATTCCAGCTGTATACTAATCAACTGCTATTTCAGAAATAAAACGTTTTAAACATAAAAATATAAATTCTGCTTCTCAAAAGTGCATACACCTTGAATAAAACATACAAATAAATAACAGAAGTCAGTGACACATCCCATGCACTTGTTCTAAAATAAGTTTTAAGTGTAGATACACTTTTCTTCCAGCCTCTAGGAGAGACTTCCTGCCTTCCTTATTACTGTACTAGAAAATTATACAGAAATCACTATCAATGGTGCATGAGTAATACCAAAGCATTTTGTGTACAGTGATATGACATGCAGCTTTTAAGACAACTACACAAATTCCAGTGTAAAAACTGAAGAGTTCAATCCAGGAACTATTTTTTAATGGGGTTTGAATTCAATTTTAACCAACGGTGAGAGGCACGGGTGGTGAGCAAACCTCTGTGGAATACAAAAGGCCTACAAAGAGAACTCCAACTTTGAAAATACCATGACTGCCTACCTATTTGGAATAATGACACCACACCATTTAGAATAGCACTGAGGGAATACATTTTCATAATTCTACAGACATCATGACTCTGGCTGGCCTTTCCAAAAAAGCATTTCCAACTTGGATGTTTACTTATATCTTTATTCTTTAAAATGTTGAAAACACCAGGTAAATTGTGTGTGTGTGTGTGTGTGTGTGTGTGTGTGTGTGTGTGTGTGTGTGTGTGTTTGTAGGCAGCATAATGCTCAACAGGATAAAACCGTCTGAACAGACTACTTTTTAAAAATGTTGTAGTGTATTCATCTCACCACAGATTAAAACTAAATTGTATTTACCTCTATAGGTAATATATAATGCCAAATTTGGGGGGGCGTATTACTTGATTTTTAAAAACATTAAAAATAGCAAAGAAGATTTTTAAAAAAGACTCTAAATAAAATGTTTCACTTTGATTTTCCAACTAAAAAAGAATTGACTATAGTAGGGAATGAGCTAAGCAGAAAAATCAGTGGCAGCCTGGGTTTGCTGTTACAATTACAAAAAGGCAATCATTCTATCCAAAGCAGGGACAGGTTTTCCCAGGCTAGAAAAGTTGCTATTTTCTCCTTTAACATTTTCTAACTTGGAGTGACTTCCTTAATCTCCCTTGGGTCTAGGGAAGGACTCAACACCCGCCCCCCGCCCCCCACCCCAGGGCACTTTGCCTGTTCCAGCAACTAAAACCACCAATTCCTACCAGACTAGCAAGTACTGGGCTACCCACAAATGCTCCAAGCTACCAAATCAGGCTGTCATCAGAAAGGATCCCAGACTGCAAACAGAAATTTGACATCAGTAGTACTTTTTTTTTTTTTTTGCCTCTTCAACACAATTGAGAAATAGGAATCACTCCTGGACTTCATATGGCAGTGATTCTCACCATAATTCTCAGTGAAGGGACAATGCATCACTATTCGGACTATAAATTAGAAATACCCAGGAGCTTCAAAATATATGCTAATTCCTGGGACTAATTACATCAGAAGCTTGGGTGTGGGACACAGGCACCTTATTTTTAAAAGTTCCCTATATGCTTCTAGTGAATGTTGGGCTTCACAATCTCAGACAAATCATTTAGAAAAGGCTTAAAATAATACTGGGGAGAGTACATGTGTGAGACTCAAAAAGCCTCTCAAATCAGCTATGAACTCCTCCCCAAAGTTGGAAAACACTGGTTTTAAATGGATGTGAAACTGATCTAGAACCTAATCCACTGTACAACACTACCATCAATTCCATGGGCTTAGCTTTATTGTGACCAGTGGTTGGGAAGGTCCAAAGCTTTCCAAAACAGCTCTAAGTCTCTATAAAAGCATTTTTAAATTGTTAGCACTATTTGAAGCCACGTTCTTTCCTTGTGACCACAATCTGACCCTAGAAGATATAAAAAATTAAAATCTATAGAAAATGGCAGGTTATTTTTAGAACAAAATACTTTAGGAAAATCTTCAGGCTTAATATAGTATATAAACCAATGATGTATGTTCAACATATTCAATTTCAATCCTGTTTGCAAAATACTTATTTTATATACAATCTCACCAATGATCAAAAAAATCGGCAGAGAAATATAGTATGCAAAGCAAAACAAGAAACCACATTTATGCTCTTCTACAATGATGATTAAGCTACATTTTAAAAATTACAAATTTAAAAATAGAGCTAATCTAAGAGTTGGCTTTGTTTTTTAACTTAACATTTAGTGTAGTCTGTATTTTTTGCTTGCATAGGAATTAAGAGCATGCTTTCTGGGTTACATGGAGGCCATGCAAAAATTGTTTTCATTACTTGGGGGAAAAAATAATCAGTCATGCTCAAAATGCAGCTGCAAAAACAAACACTCTGAAAGTTGAATAAAAGGCAGTGTGAGACACTGAGTGTTCATTTAAAGAAAAGCTCTGGATTTCTCCCCAAAATATGCATTCAACAATAACATATCCTTTATGAAATTAAAGACAGCCTGTATAGTAACAGCTACTTTTTGTGTTTATGTTTATGATAGGCAATGGTTTGTCAGCAGATTTTACCCTTCTCAACCCCAAAGTTCCGTGTGCCTCCAGAATATATGTTTTATTGAAACTGTGCTTATGATTTACATACTATCTCAAAAGTCCAACTCAGAAACACTAGTTACCTTTGTATCCAATAATTATAATAACCTGCATAACTTCAGCTGCTTAGTAATGTGTCAAAATGAAATGTAACATCAGATGCCCATCTACTTTTAAAAACATGTTTATTTCAAATAAATGAGCTTTGTTCACAGCTCTGCTCTATGCCAGTTTCCCTAAAGGCTGCCACTACTGTTACCTTTACATACTTCTGCTTTTTTTTCATGATGGTTATTTTAGAGGGATGATATTTCCCTCCCAATCCCACCCCAGACAAAAAAAACCCCACTTCCATCTCATTCAAACATGATGACCAAATTCTAATGTATAGTCAATGTGCAATGGATTTTCTACCCTAAAGAGCAGACAGCTCAATCTCAAACAGTGGATGTAAGTGGTACAACGTCTTGAAAGATGAAGAAGGGCACTTTTGGTCTCCAGTCAGACCAGACTTGCTCAAGAGAACTACAAGCCTTGCCCAACTGACCAGAATCCATTTGATCTTTCTGTTCAGGAGAACTGTCACTCCCTTTAGGACAACACTGCATGCCCTGCTTAAGGGGCTATGCTTCCAGGGTTCCTTGGCTACAGCAAATTCCTGAAGCTGTCAGCTTGCCTTTGTGCACAAAGCAGGCCCCAATGAATGTTTGCAGAATGAATGAATGATGAGAAAACGATTGCAAAAGAATGTAAGGCAGCCTCACAGATAATTATAATATTTTACCATACCACAAAGACTCCCACATCCATTTCTATTGGTCCGGCTTATTTATTACTAACTTTCAGTTAGGCTGCTTTTAGGATCAGAAAATATAGAGGGGTGGGAGATGGTCTAAGATGACCAGAGTTTAATTGTTTATTTGTGCTTCCTCATTATCTAAGGGATTATTATAAAGGCAAAGTATAGGGCTGTCTTAAAGAATAATACAGCCTCAATGCACTGTACATTTACATCAAGAATAAAACATTTTCTAAAGCAAACAAACATTACAGATGCAACACTACTATTGGTGATTAATTTATACCTAGCAAGAAATGACTGCTCTAATCAGGTCCATCTGGTTGCCAACCAAAAACCCAAAATGCAGCAGGTGATTTTTAACCCCAAAGCACATTCATTTCATATTCATTGTGTCAAATATCGGGAAAATTTAAAAAAACAAATACCTAGTCCCAAACTCTACGAAAGAACTGAATTGAACCAAGTAACAGTTTTTCCATGAGATACTTCACACCTCAAAAAGTACTTCCAAACTTTTGGGCAGAATATCCTTTTTTGTGGCTCAAGGTTGTACCTAGTAGTTAGAAAAGATGGAATTTTCACTGTTTATCAACCATGGAAATAAAATAGCTTAGAGATACCTAGAAAATGCTAAAATACTTCCTGATATTTTTATCTATTTAAATCTGAAACAAGGACTAAACTCCATAGACAGTTTATAGATACTGAAATTTTATTTCTCAATCCCATGGAAAATTAAAGGAATTTATAGAGGCTTTATTTTTTTAAAGACACTAGACATCCTTAAAAATTCACTCCTAGAGGACTCAAGAATAAAAATATTTACCATTAGAATTAGACTAGTTTCTATTAATGCTTAACTGACTATAGAAAAAAAGTGTTATTAAACCCCTCTAATCAAACTATAATCCTGTTTCAGAGTTTCAGATGGTTGATCTAAAATGGGTTCTACCTATATTAAACAAAGATGAGATGTTCAAATTAGACAATACCCAGTTCCTGACACTGAAGATCTCACATTTGGTACATCTTTTTCAGGAAATAAAAGTGATACAGAAAAACCTAAAGTGGTGACTAACACTGATCAGGCTGTCAATATGCCATGGGAAGCAATGATAGTATGGAAGATAGCCAGCCACTGCAGTTGTCCTGCAGCAGCAGAGGGTAATGCTGCTCTGGAAGCCATCAACATCTGTACAGTGAGACAAGGACACCCAGTGAAGTGGCGAGTAGAAGACTGAGTGCAATGGGCAATAGGCTCACGTTCAGTGGATTTCATGGAGCATATGGTAACTTTCACAAGGCTGAAAGCGTTAAGTCTCAAATATTGCCAAAGGTCTAAAATTCCAGCTGCCCTCAACATAAATGGCCTCCAGACTTGCAAGTTACCAGTTAATGCTCAAGTTAGCAGCAAAATAAAGTTTTAAAATAACCTACTAAAAACATTTCCCAAGAGGTATTCTTGGAAAAGAAAAAAAAAAAGGCAGTGCAGAATTCATAGCTATATATATATATATATATATATGTTACTTCATACACAACAATACTGAAAAGGGAGATTATACATGGATCTGTGCACCATGAGTTCAGGAATAACTTGAAGAGTCTATGACAGAAAAGGTTAATAGTATATATACACAAGCAGAATATGCAAAAAATAAAATTTTTAAAAAAAACTTAGCATGCTGTTGTTCAGGGAAAAGTGACAAATGCTATTCAAAGAGTATCAGGATCATGAGTCTCTTGACATTAAAAAAAAAAAACACAGATAAAGAAAAAAAATAAATAAATAAAAAATTGAGCATAAAAGTGTTGCCAGGAGACTTCCCAAAAACTAGAAAAAGTATATATCTTGCTTATCGATGAGATTTCCCTTTTTCTTAATAAAAAATGCAATTTGCCCTGCCACTGCCAGACAGAACATACTCCAAATCCTGCTTGTGAGTTCCAGCCATAAGATTAAACCTTAAGCACAAGGAAGAAATAAATGAGTTACTGGAAAGCAGTCCTAACTAAGACTGATAGGCAGGATCTGAAGTGCAAGGTAATACTTGTCACATATCACTTCAACACAGCATCACTGACTTATGGCAAGAGGCAATTTCTTTCCTCTCCAAGCTCTAAGACAAGGAAACACAAGCACACAGACATGGGGGCAGCATGGAGCATTCAGCTTCTAACAGAAAAAAGGAACACCAGAGAAGGAAAATGGTATCAATTCTTTAACTCAGTTTAGAGTCCGTTTTTTCCCAGGAATCTGTCAAAGGTGTTAACTGCTCTACTACAGTGCAAAATCTAACAGCCTTAGCTATTAAATTTAGAAGGAAAAAAAATTAACTACTAGTGACTGGCTTCTTGGCTATCCAGTCTGCCACATCTTAGGACATATCCCAAGAGTCATGACAGGTTATGGTAAACACACCTCTGGAGATGTGAAGGTAGTGAAAGATTTCATTTCTTCCTCTAAAATACCTACGCGTGGCAACAGGAAAAATGACAGTCACCCACATGTCACCTTCCTCTTTAATCCATGTACTGATGCACATGTGTCCTAGACTAGCTGAGTATATACCTGAGAAACATTAGTGTTAAAATATTGCCCTTTACAAAGACTTGGTAGATGGGGCAAAAGTGCAGAAAGCAACAGTTTTTTCCTCTATTTGTTTCACTGTTAGTGTCACAGTTTTTAGAGCTCCTGGTACCACCCGACAATCCACAGTAAGGACAAATCCTGCTCAGAAGAAGCCCAAGTCAAATAATCCATCCTTCTATGTATTAATGACAGCTTAACTGGTTCACAGGTTTCAAAACCCTCATGTCCAATGAAAGTCATTAGAGTCTCTAGAAAGAAATATGTACAGTTGCTAAAGGGACCATCCAGGGTATTGTCTATAGTTATTCCAGTTAGCTGGGTATCAATGCTATGCCTATGGCTGTTATTTGGTTCAATGGCAGAATAAGGCGACGCTTTTAACAACTTGCAATTAAATTCTACACACACACACACACACACACACACACACACACACACACAGTCAGGCACGTGACCCAAAAAATACAAAACAAAGCATAGAGGGCTTTAGTGGGAGGAGAGGGGTTCTAAATAAATAAACATCTTTACAGGTAAAACACTTGGATTGCAGAAATATCACTGAGGTTTTTGAGAAGGCCGTGCAGAGGTTTGCATGCTAGAAGATAACTTTTTTGAGGATTTCTCAGCAGACTGCCTGCCACCAGGAGAAGAAGTGACTCCAGAATCTAGATGGGAAGACTTGGATTTGCGAGCAGACAGCAGGGAAAGTTTAGCAGAAGCAGGGTCCTTGGAGACAAGCTGCTCTTTCCCAACTGCATTCGCATTTGGCTGCTGGGAACCTGGAGGCTGGTGGCCTTTTTCTGCCTTGTCATCCATGGCATTCTTACAGACTGACTTAACAGAGCTCCCACCAGCCTTTTTAGAGAGCAAAGCTGTTTTGCCAAGATCAGTCGACCGCCGGGTCTCCTTCTGTCTCAAGGCTGATTTGAAGAAGGACAGCCCTTTGTCTTCAGACTTGCTGTCCCTCTTCAGACCAGACTTCATGCTTGTGTTAGGGGAGCGCAGGCTGGCCATGGAGGAGCTCCTGACATGCTTCCCGTCTCCTCTGCCCTCTCCAGCTCTGGCCTGGCTCACCCGAGGGGAGTTGGGTTTGGAGGTGGACGTGACACTGGCTCTGTCTGAACCCAGGCTTTGTCTGGAGCCCTCTCTACTTAAACTCCGGTCTGAAGTCCTACTCTTCCCAGGAGGGAAGGGGCCTCTTGTGGCAGGAACCGAGGCTTTTTTGGCAGATGTGGAGGAAGCAGTGTGCGTGAGGGCAGAAGCTAATTTCTGCTTCTGTGGTGAAGGAGATGACACGGAGTCCTGAGATTTGGGGGATGACTCCTTTTTGGGCTGGGCAGGAGCAGGGGACGAATGCCGTCCACTGGCCCTGGAAGAAGAGTCTGCTTTGCTGCGGGAGCGGGAAGGTTTTAGAGAAACTTTCACAGGAAGAGGAGAAGAAGGGGATGTACTTGAAAGAGATGAGTCCTGGCTTGCCAAGGTTGGTCTCCCCTTCCGCAAGCTTTTATCTGGCTCAGAAGTGCCTTTGGAACTGGGGGATCTCTTGGTTGTGCTCTCTGGTTTCTTTGCAAGTGAGACTGGGTGGCTTGGGGGTTTCACCTCTTTGACTGGAGAGCTGTCTACAGAATCACTCTGATCCACATAAGCAATCTGGTTATTGTTATCAAACGGATCAGAGACAGGGGGCAAGCGATCCCCTTGTGCTGAGTGTTTGCTCTGTGCATCTACAACACTGGAGTTCAATCTGCGAGTGTCTGATTCATCTTTGAACACACCTTCCATGACAGCCAGGGGGGCCCGGCCAACAGCCTTGTGCTCACGACGACTGTGACTATCGCATGGTTCTTGGTAACTGCTAGAAAGGTTCCTCAAGCTACCAAAGCAAGAGATGGAGACCTTGTCATCCACTGCCTCCCCAATCTTCTCCAAAGTGGAAGCAGAGCTGTGAATCGGAGAGTCCCCGGAAAATCGGGATGGAGAGCTGGAGCGCATCTGCAGCTTAGCAGACAGAGACCAAGAAGGTCTCATGCAATTTTCATTGGCGGCTAAGGGGCTGGTGACAGAAGATCTAGATGACAGACTCTGACGCTGGACACTTCTCACAAATGGTCGAGTTGAAAAGCCTCCTGAATATAGCAGAGAGAATACTGTTAAGCAAAACCAGCAAAAACGTTCTAGTAACATCTTATGATATTGAATGGAATATCTCATGGAATAAGTCTCATGGAATGACAGGATTATGACCTTCAGTCAGCCTGTGTGGGATCAAGGAGTGGCCATGTGACTTCAACTTCTCTGAACCCAGTTCTTATCTACAAAATAGGGACATTCTAACTCAGGAATCAACAAACGATCCTCTTTACTCCCTTGCTCTACATGGGGGTTTGGCATAACTTTTCCTGTAAAGGTCCAGAGAGTGACAGGCCAGCCACTCAACTCTGTCATGGCAGCATGAACACAGCCACAGGTGACTCAGAAACAAACGGCCATGGCTGTGTTAAAAAATAACTTTATTTACAAAACTGACAGCAGGCTGTATTGCTGACCTTTGGTCTAACTCATTGGGCTATTGTGAGAACTGAATAAAATTAGGAGTCCTGTGCCCAACAGGGTACCTGGTACTCCTCTGAGGCTCACTAAATGTGAGCTATTGATCCAGCTTCCTCACCTTACTATGCTGAGTGTTTGCTCTGTGTATCTACAACACTGGCGTTCAATCTGATTTTTGGGGCTCACGGAAGTGAAGTCACTGACTGAGATTACACAAATAATTAAAGGCAAAGCTAATCCTAGAACCCAAAACTCCCAGACTCCCACTCAATATCACACATGAATTGGCTTGTAATTGTTGCCTATAAAAGTGGATCAACTGAAAGAATGAAAGATATTTGGATACAATACACTCCTCTCCTGAGTAACTTAAATCTTCCAAAGAAAATATCCATAATTAGAACCATATATTCCTATGTGGAGCAGCTTAAAATTCCAAAAAAATTCTAAATTCAATTCTATACATACTTGATGCTGTAGTTACAGTATTTATAAAACTCTGTCTGCACAAGATCCTAAGAGATGGGCTCTGTGGGCACCACCTAGCACCATTATATGATGATCATGCTTAAGAGGATATTGATTTTGCCAACTACCCTGTTTACACCATATCTAGGTTTATTGTTAAAATGACTGTGAATTCCAAGTTTAAAACCTGTGTTGAAAATAACTTCTATCAAAACAAGCAAAGGCACACTAGTCTGGTTTTCATAAAATGTGAGGAGCTGGAAGTAGCTTGGCAATTATCATTCAGTAATCTTATTTTACAAATAAAGAAGCGACAAGCTAGAAGAGATGCAGAGCTAGAGCTATAGTGCAGACCTCCTCGTCTGGTACTCTTCTTCCAGACCTCTGCAATTTCAACTTTACTTCATTTTCTCAGAAGTATCTATCACCACTAGAAGCAGATTATAGTGATTGAAATGCTGGCTGCAGTGTGAGACTTGTTGGAAGATGAGTCACTGTGCTCATTATAGAAGCTGAGCTCAGTGTCTCCTCCTTCCAGCTCTCAGTGCTTTGGCTGCCTGATCCTTCTCACATCACCTAGGTCTTTGTCAGAACCAAAGTCTGTCCTGCCATTTCCTAAGCGATAAGTGAAAGTTTAGCAAATTTTTTTAAAAGTCAGAGTTTAATTTTTATCAGATATTCTATTTTTACTACCTCCAAACAAAGACAACAGTTGTTGTTCTACATGCTTCTGTAACATTCCACAACTTCTCCATGGGGAGCAGCATGATGAAGAGGCAAGGTGTTCCTGAGGAAAAGCGAGCCAGGAGCCTCCAGTCAGCCTGCAACCCAACTCTGCACCAGGGAGCCCTAGGCAAAGCACCACCTCTCCGAGCTCGTTGATATTCTGAGTATTTTAAAGAGCACTTTGAAATATATTTATATACACACACGCATATACACACACATACATATATACAGTATACAGAGTTAAAGCTCCAGCCTCTACACTAGACCTTAAAGTAGAAAATAATGAAGTAGAAGGAGAAAGTCTTAGGCCACAGAGGAAAAGCGAATTATTCCATTTATATAAAATGTTACTCTTCAGGTGTAACCCACTCTCTGCAATTCCCTTTGAGTCCTCCCACCATCTCCTTGGGACTTAGTTCCTAGGCAAAACATGAGGGACACTGTTGTGTATCTGTGAGTTGCCACTTTGGAAATCTGTCACCGAAACCCACACCCACCATCATCTTCACTCCTTTCTCCAGCCATCTCCACGGACTCAGAAAGTGAGGCCAGGGAGGTGCGTCTGGAGGATGCCGCAGAGGTCACGCTGGCTTGCTTGCTCCCCGGGAGCCGGCTCACCCAGTGTTCACACAAGGAGGAACTTGTGGAGCCTGCAGAGGAGAAAGTGGGCACAGAAGTCAGGCACCCTTCACACCCCCATAAACGTGCTGCGAGGTAAGCTGGGAGGGATGATGCCCTCACCCCAGGTCAGCATTAACTCCCAGACCCCATGTCAAGTTGTGCCTGCCCAATTATCTCCAGTTAAGATTAGACAGCATGGAAGGCGGACTTCCACACACATGTGTTTATAGTAATAAAATGCAAATACAGGAATTAATACATCATAATGCAAAGTCTGCATCTCGTGAATTGGTAAGAGAACTGAACAATCATTCACATATTCTACAGATATTTATTAAGCACCTTCATGCCAGGCATTTGGAGTAATATTTCTGACACGAAGAGAAGAGAAAGAATAAACGTGTACTGTTTTTTTCTTAGCCTCATTGTTTTACGGAAATTTAACTATCTTCATAATATTAATAACACACTCACACCCCAATGTGTTAATCTATCCTGTCTGCTTCAGGAATGCCCTTAAATATTTATCAGGGCAATTGAAACTGCTCTCAAAATTGAGTACATGAAGCAGCATGACTGTCTCAAACAGATCTCAAGAAAGTATTTCTGAGCATATCCCAGACTCTGGAAAGCACTGACTGGAGGCATAAGAGCACTGGAGTTCACACTTTCTGTTAAGTGAATGAGTGGCTGCATAACAAGTGGGGTTTGAACCTAGCAAGGGTCACTCTGCTTGAGAGATGCTACCTTTTAGCTGCTTTGAATTCAGCCATCCCAAGCTTCAAGAGGAACAAGGATAATATTCTCTAACCTGATCACAAATTACCATGTTCCAGACTTCTGTATTCTTACATATTCTCTTAAAGTCAAACTCTGCATTAGGAAGTACACATCTCCTGGAGTAAGTGTGGCTGTATCCATATCGTGTGTGGAGGTACTGGTCCCCACATTTATTAAACACAACAGGATGAATCCCATCAGACTAAACTCAAGTCATCTAATATTATTATAGTTATTAAATCCCCCCCACCAGAATAGGCAATGTTCTTATTGAAAAAATTGACTATTTCTAATGATGGCACTTTACCCTTTACAAAATGCTTTAACATGCATTTAGCTAATAAGATGTTTACAATGACCCAATGAGGTAGGTATTATTATTACACCCATATTATAGATGATAACTACATGGTTCAAATGGGACATGATCCAAGATAACCCAGGAAAAAAGGGTGGCATGTCATGCTGCTTTTCAGCTCCATCGTGCATATATCCTGCAGGCAAACATTGCGAGCCAGGTCCTACCTCCCAGCCCCTCGCATGAATTCTCACTGATTCACAGCTCTTCTCACATTCCACCACCATTTCCTACACTGCAATCATTTTGGTTTCCAAGTTAAATGGAAATGCAAAAATTAATCTGATCAGCCTGACAGAGTAATGGGACCTTCAGGAGAGGTCCTCTGGACCATGAATTACAATCGTCTGTTCTAGAAAAAATTGCCCAAGAACTCAAGTCAATCTCACCTGCCACTGAGCTGTTTGCTGACCAAGATGGGATGGCTGTCCGCCTCTGGTAGAAGAGGATGTATGCCGTCTGTGTGCAGACCTCATCTTCTGACAGCTGCTGCACATCACTATCATCGAAGCAATACCAGAGACCGTCCACAGAGTTCTTACAGTACGCTGTCAAAAAGAATACACCATCAGCACTGGGGAGGCTGTACCAGCCATTCCTTTCTACTCATAGACATCATCTCTTGGGTTTATATAATTAATTCAGTAATTTTTAAAGGCTGCATATAGTAAAATAAAAAGAGATTTTTAAAAATTCCAAATTCCATATCACTCAGGCAAAATGTTTTGAGAAATTTCAAACTATTCCAAGTAGATACAGTTCCATTTCATCTTAGAAAATACAATATACTTACTTAAACCGGTGGGTCTCAGTCAGGTAAATTTTGCTCTGCAATGGACATTTGGCAATGAATAGAGACATTTTTTATTTTAACACTAGGAGGGGAAGAGGGTGCTACTGGCATCTAGTGGGTAGAGGACAGGGATGCTGCTAAATATCCTACACTGCACAGGACAGCACCCCCTACCCAAAAAGGATTATCCAGCCAAAATGTCAACAGGGTCAGGATTAAAAAACCCTGATTTAAGCATGTTGCAACATTTTAGTGTCTATAAGAGATGGAAAATAATATGAATAGAAATAATGATATTAATGACAGCAGCAGACAGCATTTGTTTAATACTTATTATATATCAAGTATCTCATTTAATTCCTGTAATTTTATTTCTGTTATTAAACTTAAAAGTTTCAGAGGCTGAAAAAGACTAACCAGCTTGCCCAAGGTCATGCAGCTGGTGAAAGGCAGATCCCGCCTCATTCCAGGTTTATCTAGTCCTTGAGCTTGCACTTAAACCCCTACCCTATCCTGCTTCCCTCGGAAGGGAGCACAAACAACGCTCCATGGAAGTTCCCTAATAAACTGAGAACATATGAATTTGTAAACACACAAGGTCTTCTCTCCAATTCAAACTCTAAGCATGAACTAGAAATAAAGTACCAGCAAGAAACCATCAAAAACTAGAGTTCATGAAGCCAAGTCATCCTGTAAGAATATATCAAGGGGTGTTATACACTTGATTCAGAAAGGTAATTATCACATTTTCTAAAAATACCCATTTATTGGGGTGAGAATAAATGAGGCGTTAGAATATTTAGCTGAATGCTGGAACAGACTCACTACAGCTCTAGGGGCAGGACATATAAGATCCTGAGAGGCACCAGGAGTGACTCCCTCAATAGACCACAACCATTTTCTGCAAGTATGAACCCTTAAGAGTTGAAGGGGACTCAGGCGAGGAAGGGCTACATCAGACAGGTCCCCCCACAAAGATAAGCAGAATAAGAATATTATGAATGTAGGCAGAGAAGTCATTTGCAGCTGAGGACTCGCCAGCACCAGAAAGGGAGAAATGAAGATATAAGCAGCAAATGGAGATATACAAAAAGCAGCAATTGTTTGGCCAATGGCATCAGTTCAGACTTTTTACAAATTACTTAGCTGGTGAGTGGCTGCTATTCTGGAATGGTGAGTGGGGACACGGCTGAGGATAGAAGAAACAGAATAACCTTGTGCTCATTTCAGCCTGTTCCTCTTCAGGATGGCCTATTCTCAGTCACAGCATGGAAACAGCCAGTACAGTAATTCATTAATGGGTAAACCATCAATTTACAAAATAATTCTACTTGCTTTTCTTCCTAGCACTATTTTCTGAAGTATTGTCTAGGTCAATGCTACTCAAATTTTGGCTCACAGAGACTGATACAAGTTCACAAGAAAAGCATCATAATCGGAGATAAGCATCTTAAAACTTTTACAGCAATGTGATAGTCTGGCATTTTTATTGCATTTTTACAAAAGTTTTGATTCAAGAAGAATTGGGAATTTAAATTCCCACATTCTCACATCATAGATGGTGTGAGAAGCATTGTTCTCGAATCCTTACACAAGTTAGCCATAAACACACCATTAATTATAGTTAGAACTAGTGCAAAATAGAAAATCAAAATAAACATTCCAAATGAAAACTTAAAAACAGAGTATCTTTAATTCAACAATGCTGAAAGTATTTAAAATGTACTCTAAATATTTTATATACCAGAAAAGGAATGGTATGCACTAGGTATGGGAAAGGAAAATAACACAGAAAATATCTAAGCACCTCTAGGTAATGGGTCCCTTAGGTCATGCTTACTTCTGGCTCACTAATGTGGTAGCCAAATTAGAGTAAGGTTACGTGCCCAAGGTCTCAGACTAGGAAGATGTGTCTAGCTTCTAACCCAAGCTCCTTTTACCAAATTGTACTGCCCCCTGGGTAGTTGGGGGTTTTCAGGCATTTTCCAGGTTTTGTTCTATAAGCTAAAATCTAGCACTCTTACTTTTTTCCAACAATTTCTTGCTAGAAACTACATACCAAGTCAGTCTCTATTTACCTGAGATGTTATAAATGAAAGATGCCATGCTTTACCAAAGCTGAAGCTGGATTAACATGAGTCGAGAATGCTGGCAGAGGCACTGCTACACCAGGTAATTAGTGAAATTAAATTACCTCCAAGTCCCTTTCCATTCTAATAGTCCATGAGTACGTGATTCCGTCACTCAGTATTAAAGAATACAGATATGACTAATAATGTCACAAAAGTAAAAATCCAACTAGATATAATATCTATACATAGCCCCCATCAAATGGAAATATAAAACACGTAAGATACCGAAGTTAGTATTATCATTTAACTTTAGTTCAGACCAAAGTACAAGGTAAAATATATTTAAACACTTAATTAATATTAACTTTTGTCTTCTATGAAGTTAGAGCATCTTTTAAACTCGCCTATCTTTCTTTTCTCCTTGAAAGTGCTTCCTAGGACAAGTAGAGGCAATCTAAATTGCTCCACTATGAGATACACTCAAAGCTGGGATCATTCCTCTCACAAACAACTGCTATCTGCAACATTTAAATATTTAAAGAATTTGAACTAAAAGCGTTTTGAAAGTAAAAGATTATTGTATCCAGTAATCTTCCCTGCCGTCCTGAGAGAGAACAGAGTAGGTTGAAAGAGTGAGTGTGCAAGGGCTGGGAAGGCCGACAGAGTCCTTCACCATGCTGACAGGGAGAGAGGTTCGTGGCCATCTGCTGAAGAAAAGAATCCCAGGGATTGCAAAAGTCCACCCCTCCTCCACCTCTCCTGGCTTTAAAAATCAATGGTCAGCACCAGCATTCTGGGGTCTTGTTGCAGAAGCCACTAAATTAATGAAGAAAGAAAGTCCCTGAGAAGTATACATGTGTAACATGTTGAGTGTGAAGGATGCAGAAATCCAAGTCCTGGCTACCCACACAGATAACCAAGTTAATGGTATTACCCTCACACCAACCCTCACATAAATAAACGAAATCCTGAATCTGCTTAGACTCCTAAAGGTTCATGCATGCCCTTAAACCCAGGAATTCCATATTTGAGACTCAAACTCAAGGCAAGAAAGAATTAAAATTCAGAAAAAGTGAATGTGCACAAAGATAATTATCAGTGATACACTAAAAGTTAAAAACCAGGAACAATACAGATGTTCAGCAATGGAGAATGGTTATATAACATCAGAGGTCTATCAACAGAATATTCTGTGGTCATTAAAAACAGTGCTTATAAAAAGTGCCAATGTCAAAATGCTTAGGTTACAATACTGACTCTGAAGATCAGGATGCAGAAGAACACACATGCCACTCATGCCTCACTGTGTATCTCTAATTCTGGATTTTTTACCTGTCCAGCCACCCCACAGGCCCATAGGGTGCTGAGGTATAGGCAGCAGGTTCCTAACCCCATCAGCTTCTCCTATCCTTCCAGCACATTCTGACCACTTTCTCCCATGGTCCCTGCCTCCACCCACTGTTCAAGTCTCCACCACACAACCTATTACATGTCACTTCTCTTTCTAAATTGTGTTTGTACCTACATCTCCCCCTACTTGATTACATTCCTGGAAGACAAAGGCTGGGACCTATTCATCTCTACTGTTAAAGAGCCCAGTGCAAGTTAGATGTGAAGGGTTCAATAAATTCTCATCTGAACAAAGAACACCAGTATAATCATAGTTGTGCAAAATAACTGCAAAAACTTACAGAAAAACAATGGAAGTATACATCACATATTTTATATGAATGTCAGCTACATGCCAAATTATGTTGTTAGTTATATACAATGGAACATTATTCAGCCATAAAAGGAAAGGAAATTTTGAAACATGCTACAACATAGATGAACCTTAAAGACATTATGCCAAATAAAATAAGACACACACACAAAATACTCCCTACATCTTCAAAATTAAAAATTAAAAAAAAAATACTGAATGATTCCACTTATAAGAGGTACCTAGAACAGTCAAATACATAGAGACAGAGAGTGCAATGGTTGCCATGGCTCGGGGATAAGGGAAAATGGGAATTATTGTTTAAAAGATAGAGTTTAAGTTTGGGAGGATGAAAAAAGTTCTGGAGAATGGATAGTGATGATGGCTGTATAACAGTGTGAATATACTTAATGTCACTGAACAGTACACTTGAAAATGGTAAAAATGGTAAAATTAATTATGTACATTTTATCACAATTTTTTTTTTTTTTAGTTGGAGTCTCACTCTGTTACCGAGGCTGGAGCTGGAGTGCAGGGTGCAGTGGCGCCATCACAGCTATATAGCCTTGACCTGCTGGACTCAGGTAATCCTTCTGTCTCAGTCTCCCAAGTAGCTGGTACTATAGGTGTGGACTACCATGTGCAGCTAATTTTTTGATTATTTGTAGAGACAAGATCTCACTATGTTGCCTGGCTGGTCCTGAATTCCTGGGCTCAAACAATCCTCCCGCCTTGGCCTCCCAAAGTGGTAGGGTTATAGGCATAAACCACTACTCCTGGCCCATTTTATCATAATTTTTTAAAATGTTACCAGTGGTTATCTTTAAGTGATAAGCCCATGGATGATGATATTCTTTCTACCTCTAGTCTCTAAATTTCATATGATAAGCATAATTGCTTTTATAAATGAAAAGGTAAATTTAACCCTTAAAACAAAAAGAAACACTCTTCCAAGTCACTTTAAAGACTTTAAATATTAAAGTGGTTCACAAGACAGACACTATGGCACATTCCTATATCCCAGGTTCTTGTGAGGCTGAGGCAGGAAGATTGCTTGAGTCCAGGAGTTCGAGGCTGCAGTGAGCTATGATCATGCCTGTAAACAGCCACTATTCTCCAGCCTGGGAAACACAGCAAGACCACATCTTTTTAAAAAAAAAAAAAAAAAAGTGGTTCACATTCATTCCAAATAAGGAAGCCACTAGAACCTCAAGAAAGTTGAACAAAACCTTAAATGGGGAGTGCAAGTTAGCTAAACAAAGAACAAACCTCAGTTGACCAGACAATGCTATGTGCACACACCATTCTCCAATTCAGTCAGGTAACTATTGGACGATCCAACTCAGGAAAACAGGAAAGAATTTTAGTTTATTTGCTCTTGGACAGAGAGCCAGAAGATGGAAACTGCCCTCACAGTTGGCACACTGCCTACTGAAAGGGAAAGCGAGGCTCTAAAGCCAGGCCACCCTGTCACAAGCAAACCATCTGAAGGACTCGCCAGCACAGACACACGGCCTCTCACACTGCAGACCTGTGTAGTGCCCCCCTTGCATGGTGCCATGATGATTGCACACAGCATACAGGTCATAGATGTAGTCCTCAGGGTCCCTCCCGAGTCCATAGGGCCGTCTCCACGGGGACCAATGGGATGGCAAACTCCAGCTGCTCTGGCTTCTCTTAACCACATGAGGTGTCATGTCCAGGCCAGTCAAGGGGAACTTGACCATGTTCTGAAGTTTCATACGTCTGTCTCCTTCCTGTTGCAAGAAGAAAAACAAGTTCTGGTGATTTAATACATGCAGACAGCAGATCAGTTTAGGGTGGAATGTGGATTTTATCAGATAAAGTGGTTTGAGTTACCTATCTGATGTTTCCCAAGACATACAAAACAGGGAAACAGATGAATAGTTTTAACTGTCTAGAGGAACAGGTTTTAGTCACTAAATGTGAAACCAATGAGTATCTACATAGAGGGGACAAATGAGTCTCTGAGTCTTCATTTTCTTATCTGTTAAAGGATTTTTAGGCCTCTGACTTACAAAAATGACAATTTCAGGCAGTTTACCCTGATACTTGTATCACAGCGACATGAAAATTAATGATGTGGTAACTATGTGATGGACAAACCACAGTGCCTGGCACAGAAGAGCTATTTGATAAGCATTGCTCCTTCCCTCCCTACCTATTCAAACAAGTACACTAAAATTTAACACATGACTTAGTTAGCTAAATATATTCACTAAGTTGACAACCTTGTATAATATGTATTTTCCAGCCGGGCTTGGTGGCTCAGCCTGTAATCCTATACCTTTGGGAGGCCGAGGTGAGTGCCTGAGCCCACGGGTTCGAGACCCGCCTGAGCAGTGAGACCTCATCTCTACAATAAATCAAAAAATCAGCCGGGCATGGTAGCATATGCCTGTAATTCTGGCTACTTGGAAGGCTGAGGCGGAAGGATCGCCGGAGCCCAGCAGGCGAGGCTGCAGGCCACTGCACTCCAGTCTGGGTGACCGAGTGAGACTCCAACTCAAAAAAAAAAAAAAAAATGTATTTTCCATTAAGCCCATAGGGAAATCCTCTGAAATCCAACCATCACTAGAAGAGATATTTACTACATGTTTCCAGTCTACGAGAACTTAAAAAAAAAAATTAACCAGGCACAGATTTGCCCACCCCAAGAAGATATGTATGGATCTATCAAGAGAAGAATTTGTAATTAAGGGGGGAACACTGAGGCTTTTGTGGAAGAGATGAGGTCACCAGAGTTGTGGGTGAAGAATTGTATAAGCAGTGCATAAAACATGACAGAAAGAGGAGAGTAATGAAGTTGAAAAAAAAATCAGTTAAAATATACTGTAATTGTGACCAGTTGAAAACGAACAAAAAGTATACACTGGTAGGGAAACAGCAAAAATGGGGAGAAGGAGGTGCATAGAGGAGTCAATGGAGAGGCACAGCCACACTGAAGAAGTGACTGCATAGATGAGAGGGACAAGAAAAAGGAGTCAAAGACTGACACTGCAGGTTTCAGTCCAGATTGCCTGAAAGGTGACTATATGCATTCAAAAGAAACAGAAAGCAAAGGAAATTAGTGTCTGGGGAAGGAGACAGAGAAAGTTGGAATCCAAAACCTCGAGCAGCTTTCCACCTGCAGATCACAGTGGAAGTATGCAATGGAAGGCAAATGTTCATGCTTCATTACTGTAGGAACTGAACCCAAAACCTCTGTGTGAAAGCCCCGGCCCTGGGGACCATGTGTGTGTCACCCCAATACCTCCACTTTCTCAGCAAGTCCCAAACAACCCTCCACCTCTGCAGGCAAAGCCATTCCAAGTCATTAGCAGTCCATGCCTGGATGACTGCAAAGGCCTTCTTCAGGCTCCCTGTCTTCATTTTTGTAGTCTCCAATCTGTTCTCCACACGACAGCCAGAATGATCATTGCAAAACATACATTTGGTAGTGCTGCTTCTCTGCTTATAATCCTTCATCAGACTTACTCTGACCACCAGGGTCTGCCTGCACAAGCAACACCCTCCCACCTCTTCCACTTCAAGTCCCACCACTGTTCCACCCCTGGAGAGCCAGTCCAACTGGCCAGCTCTCAGACTCATGCACACGCTGTACTCCCTCGGGCCACCTGGCTTTGCACACACTACTCTCTCTGCCACACTGCATGCCTGCACTCCTGCTTCTACCCGACCTGGTAAAGTCAACCTATCTTGTAGATACTAACCTTCTCAAAGCCATGCCTTGTGGACTCTGCTAACATTTACCTCTCATTTACCTCTCTTTCAATAGGACTGTCTAGGACGATCGTAACCTCAGGGAATAGACAGCCTTTTTGGAAAAACTGACTCACAAAGCAATACAACTCAAAACAGATTTTCTTTGTATATATATGATTCATCTTCTCAACTATACAACAGCTCCTTGGGAGCAGGTCAACACTTGTTATTTTATTAAGTAGAAATAGAATTCCTCCTCCTCCAGAAAGGATTTCTCCTTATTTCTGTTTTAATCCCAAAGTGCATATAGCAAAATTTGAGCTCAGCATTTACAAGTGAACTAAAACTCTCAAAAACAAAGTAAAATATCTGCAATATGAAGTAAAATGTTTAGGATTTAAAGGTGATAGTATGCTCAATTTTACTTTGGGAAAGAACAAAACATGACCCCAAATATAGACCCAGACAGGAATCACTGAACCAAACAGGGACACCAAAGAACCCCGCACTGCCCAGCAGTAGGGGAATGAGAAACTTGGTCACAGCTTATTCCCTAGGCTAGAGAATTTCCTTACCTGTCGAAATCTCTTTAGATGTATAATAAGCACATCAGGCAGAGTCCACAGGCTCAATGTAATGCTTCCCTGTTGCAGCTGCTTACAGTGCGGGCAACGCCAGGCGTCATCAGGGGCAAGCTGAAAACACAAAAGCATGACTCTGTCAAGAGACATTTAATGCAAGGTCTTAAGTGATAGAAGGAACTGGATTAATTTCTTGGCCAGGGCATGGTACAATTCAGACTATCTCTGGAAATGGCAGATGATGGCAGTCAGTGGAATAACACAATCTCAAGTGGCCAGAACTGGCACTCAAACTCTAAATATATTTTGGTTTGCTGAATGGATTATCACCCAAAGAGGAACAACTAAAATAGGTAAATACTTATAAAGAATGTTAGATGTCACAGAAACACTTCAAACTCAGCATAACCCCCACCACAACTCAACTCATCACCTTTCCCTCAACATGGTTCCTCTTTCTCCTCCATCCATATGTCCAACCTCAGCAAACACCACTACCACCCGCCAAAGGCAGAACATACAGGATTATCCTAATCCCCAAAACCCTTCCCTCTTCCTCCTGCTCCACATCCATACAAAGTGAACCTTTCTAACACCTGTCTCCTCCTTCCCATACTACTAACACCACATTAATTCAAAGTCCTCTCTTATTCTCGCATCTGGATCTCAAGTCTCCTAACTGCTCTCTCCCCTACGCACTAAACTGCTCCAAACAATCCTCCCCTTCTTGTTAACAGCAAGAACTTTCTAAATGTCAATCCGAGACCCTAAATTCACATACATCATCTATTCATGGAAGGATTTCAGGATGGGGACATCCTAATTTAGAGATGCCAACAGATGAAAGATTTAATCTACTCCAGAGTTCAGAAGATACATTAGGCCTGGGATTATCAACAGGGGAGGATGAGGTTAGGGGAGCCCTGGGAATGGATGATAATGCCCACTGAGATGGAGAGGAAGGAACCAAGGACTGAATTTTGGGAAATGCCTATTTTTAAGAGAAACACCAAAACTGAGACATCATCAGAGCATCAGTATTCCTTTTATCAAAAGCATTTATCTTATGCATACCAAGAAAAGAATGGTATCCTATAGAGAGGTCAAACAAGGACTGGGCAGAGGTCACTGAATTGAGTTAACTGGGGCCACTGAGAACTTCAGAGACCAGTAACCAAAATGTAAAAGTCAGACAAACGACAAGAGGTTTTGGAGGGATGGAGGGAGTTAGTGAGTGAAAAAGAGTTGAAACCACTAATGATAAATTCAGGTAGAAAAGAGGAGAAAGAATGGTATGGTAACTTGAAAAGGAAGCAGAACTGTGGGAACTTTTTTTTTTTTAATGACAAGGAGACCCAATCATGCTGCACAGAAGCTGGAGTGTATGGGAGTGAATCAGAAAGACTGGAACGACCTGTAATGTTATCTGGCAAGTCCCACATCTTTGCATGACATATTAACATTCTACATATGTGGTCATCCAGCCCAGTGCCTATAGTAAAGAAGCAGGTTTTTGTTTGTCTAAATTCCAAGATATTATAAATGAACACTTTTATAAAACACAATGAGAGTGTTGTAACAATGTCTAATTGCTATGATAGTTTCTAAAGCACTTCTTTGGCCAGGCACAGTGGTTCATGCCTATAATTCTAGCACTCTGGGAGGCGGGAGCTAGAGGACTGCCTGAATCCAGGGGTTTGAGACCAGACTGGTCTCAAACTTGGTGAGACCTCATCTCTACAATAAAAAAAAAAAAAATCAGCTGGGCATGATGGTGCGCACCTGTGGCTCCAGGTACTTGGAAGACCGAGACAGAAGAATCACTTGAGCCCAGCAGATTCAGGCTGTGGTAGCTGTGAGTGTACTACTGTACTCCAGCCTGGGTAACAAAGTGAGACACCAACTTTAAATAAATACATACACACATTCATACATAAATCACTTCTCTGATGTGTGTACTGCTCTCACTGTAAACTACTAAAAAGAGTTCCCAAATCTGCAGACACATCAAAGCATCCCTCATTGAATTGACTCTGCCTAGCAAATGAAGGGGCCCATCTCAACAGGCAATTCTTCCACTTTCAGAGAGCCTGCTGAAAAGTTCTTCCTTATGTGAAGGCAAAAATCACTCTCCTCATAATTTCCAATCTTTAAATTCTGCTTTTCATATAATAAGTCCAATCCCTTTCACCCATAGGATGGCCCTTCCAGTTCCTGAAAATAACTAAGATTCCACTTAAGATCTCTTTGTCAAAACATACTCAGCTATGTCATGAATTACAGATGCACCATTCCCTACCCACTCTTCCTGGATATGTCCCAGTTTGCCTTTCTCTTAACAATGAACATTTAAAGTAATGAAAAGAACAGTGCTATCACCATCAGAGTCCTGGACACTCTTTTTTTTTTTTTTAAACATACCAAGCATGTAACACTAGACACTGTTTCTAAAGTAGCTGTAAGGCAGCATGACAATGGCTGACACCCACACAGCACTGCTGATCAGCACTGAACTTACAGACAACTAGACCCCAAAGTTATGTCATACAGCCTGCTGCTAAGTCATACCTTCTCCTCTTCTATATCTGTCCTGTTATTTTTTGGCCCACAAGTACTACTCACTCATTCCAGTACATACTTACTGAACATTTCTGTGGACCAGGGACTGCTCTAGATGCTAAAAACTTAGTAATCAAGACAGGTAGAGTATTTGCTCTCATGGAGCTTATATTGTCTCAATTTCTCCCTACTTCCAGTGCTCCAGCCATATTGGCCTCAATTTTGCTTTTGAATCATGTCAAGCTCCTTCCTATACCAGTACCACTGCTTCCTTTATTTACGGTTTAACCCATCTAGACTATAAACAGCACATGGACAAAAATGGTGTCTGTCTTGGTCCCTGCTATATCCTGAGTACTTAGAGCAGTACTTAGCATCTAGTATATACTCAACAAACATCTACAGGATAAATGAACCCTTATTCAAATGTATCTTGCTAGCATTCTGGATCAGTGAGATGTTTTGTTGTATATCAATGCTATTATCTAGTAGGTTTCCTCACCTCTAAGCTTTGTGCCATTCTCAAACATCACCAAAGTCACACACAAAAAAAAAACCTAAATAGGACAAGGTGCCATAGAGAGTCTGCAATCAACCAGTTCCAAAGTCAACTAACTATTTCATAATTGAGTGCAAAACTGAAAAAACATTTCATATTTCTGAAAAAAGGGCTATTGTTAAAAGAACTAGCTATGAACAGCCTAAGGGTAAGAAAATTGAGACGATGAAAACAAAATACTTGAAAGATAGACAAGAAGAATAAAATTACAACTTTTGAGTCTTAATGAATTAAAGAGAGAGAACATCCACTGGTTGCAGTAAGCAACGATATATTTCAGTCACCATCAAAGCTATCCAGAGAGAAAGTAGCAAGTCAAAAGTCTTGAGTAAGTCGGGTGCTGTGGCTCACACCTGTAATCCTAGCACTTTGGAAGGCCAAGGCAGGAGGATTGCTGGAGCACAGAAACTCAAGATCAGCCTAGCCTAGGCAACAATAGTGAGATCTCATCTCTACAATTTTTTTTTTTTAATTCACCAGGCATGGTAACACACGCCTACAGTACCAGCTATCAGAAGGCTGAGGCAGGAGGATCGTTTGAATACAAGTCGAAGTTGCAATAAGCTGTGATCTTGCCACTGTACTCCAGCCTGGACAACAGAATAAGACTCTGATTAAAAAAAAAAAAATGTCTTGAGTAGGCAAACATCTCATAATTAGAAAAATACTCTAATCTAAACATCTCATAATTAGAAAAATATTCAAACAGGTGGACAATCACCTGTTTGAAATTAGGCAGAAGAACCCAATCATTAGAACAAAAAGGTTTTAAAGTCTCCCCCAATCTAAAATTGCATGATTCCCCATATAAAAGAGTGAAGAGTAACAACTAGCAATCAAAAATATGATCCTAAGCATCAACACAGGATTAGATTAACTCCAAGTGTTCTGGTCAAGGTTGTTCAAGGTGCATGAGACCTACACAGGCCCAGGCCCCACCCACAGAAACATATTTATCCACCTACTCCATTCAGTCATTTAAATATTTACTCAGCACCTACTATCTGCAAAGCACTGTGCTAAGTGGTACAAAGCATTGCTGACAATTTTCTGTTTATATCTGCACTGACAGAACTTTTTTGTCTATACCTGCATATTCACTAGGGGAGCCACTAGCCACCCATTTACTGAGTATTTGAAATGCAGTTAATACAACTAAGGAACCGAATTTCTTGTTTTATTTCATTTAATTTAAATAGGTCCTGGCACCAGTGATCTTAGTAACAAAAAGTAAAGAACCGCTGTTTTAGTTACTAAGCGAAATAATTTAAAACTTCCAAATTGAAAGAATGAAATCATGTCCTTTGCAGCAACATGAACAGAGCTGAAGATTACCATTCTAAGTCAACTAACTCGGAAACAGAAAACAAAACACCACATGCTCTCATTCATATGCAGAAACTAAATGTCCACATAGATGGAAATAACAGACACTGGGAGCACCAATAAGCAAGGCGGGGGGGGAGTACAATGTACTTATTGGGTACAATGTTCACTAACTGGGAAAGGGGACACCTGAGACCCAATCCCCACCCCTACACAGTATGCCCATGTAACAAACATGCATGTATATCCCAATTCTAAAAGAAAATGAAAAAAAAAATCTTACTCCAATGTGATGACACTATGAATGACTTGTCTCTCATTTTCCTATTTTCCAAATGTTTAAAAAAAGATGAAGAAAAATGTCAGCAGAAAGCATCAGATTTGTATGGAAACTGAACTTGAAATCCGCTACATTTGAAGGATTCCTGGTACACTGATAAGACCATTCCCACTGTAAGGACAGTCAGACAAATGTATCAGGATAGCCACATCTAACTAATGCTCCCTTTTGTGGATTCTTGTTTCAAGAGTAATTTCCTGATTTGTTATTTTCCTAGAAAAAATGTGCTGGAACACACACACACACACACACACACACACACACACACACACACACACCTTCTGAATCCAGGGGGGAAAAAAACAAAAAAAAAAACTGACCATTAACTAGTAAAAAGATCTCACTACAGAGATTTATTTCTCAGCACTGCAATTAACCAAGGTTTCCTAAAAATTTATGCTATTCTTTGTTAAAGTTCTAAAAGCAACAGCACTATGACATTCATTACAAGTGCAAAGCTACATAAATGCAAAATCCTGGGGAGTTTTCTGGGGCATAATTTGTTTCTCCATTGTAATCTTGCCATGACTCCTCCCTTCTATCCTTAGCACCCAAGAAATACTGCCCAACCTCTTACCCGTTCCTCTTTGGTGTACAGTTGAAAACACTGGGATAAAGTGCAGGTTTGAGGCTGATGATGATGCTCCCTCTGCAGACGAACACTTTCTGCATCAGGGATATACTCATCCTCAGTATTTACAAACAAGCTGCAATGGGAGGGAGCACTTATCAGAGAATATCTTGTAAATCAGACACAAAAATATTATTACAGCTTCAAAAAGTAGCTATAAATTCATAACCAAAAAGATCCGTGTATTAGAAAACAAAAGTAATAATCTACTCTTTCTATGTCCCAAAATGTTCTTGAAAAGTTCTCTATATACAAAGTTATTTGCAGAACTAACTTGGAGTTGATTTTTCTGGGACTAGCCATGGCCTGTACTGATTAAATCATATATTCTTGTCCTTTACATCTAGAACGTGCTTCTGACATAGCTTACTAGAATTAACAGGCCTGTAATAAAAATCAAAGTAAACTGAACCTATATAGTGGTAATAAATATATAGCTTCTTTCTCAGTACAAACAAATGTTCTCTAAGGTTTTGAGGTTGAGAAGAGAGAACGTATAGGAAAGGAATAATATGCTGCTTAAATAAAGGATTAGCAACACACCTGGATACATAACTAAAGAGAAGAATTTGTGTTTCAGCTAATTTGAAAGATCAGCGGTATACAACTAAAATGAAGCTAAAACAGTGGTTCTATAAATACTAAGTAAAAAAATACTCACAAATCTTTTGTCTCCTTGTCCCATTCAACTACTAATTTCACATGAGCAGTACCACCTGGTCCACAAGATTTTAACGCCCTACAGAATGGGGGAAGGGGAGACAAAAGCCATATATTATTTTCTAAATATTTTACTTAAATGTGATTACGTCCTATCTGAAATCATAATGTGATTACTGAAAATCTCCATCATAGTTTCCCATCAGAAAAGGTTTTTAGCAGACCATTATAACCACTGATTTAATAACTATGTTACAACTGAACTGCAAAGTCCTTGAATTAAAATGCCCAAGACAGAAATAAAGAGACTAGAAGAAATGTAGTGTCACATTATAAGGCTGCCCACAATCATTCAGACAGTCTTCATGATCTCTCCAACATTTTGCCCCATTTCTCACTGACCTAAATAGAAAGTCTGCCCATGTACCTCTCCACCTCCCCATATACCACGCCTGGTCTAAGCTACACCCTTCTTTTCTTCAAAGCCACTCTGATCCCGAGTTCACTGGCTCACTGCCAGCTTCTGAGAAACTCTTTCAGAATTCAGTTAATATTACTAATCTAATCTTTTTAATGTTGTGTAATATTTTGGATCATTATCTAATCTATTAACTTTCATCTCTAAATTCAAACAGTAAGCTTTCAAACAGAACCATGCCATATACTTTGTTGAATACGTTTTTAGAATCCTGAAATGCAGGCACTATAATATTTGTTGAAAAAAATCATTATAATAAAAACAATGTGAATTTTTAGTGTGTGTATGTATTATTTTATTAATACAATATTGTAAATATAACAGAAGTATATAGAAAGTACAGAGATAGTAAAGTGGAGTGATTACTTCTATGGAGAGAAGGAACAGTTTTAAAAAGTGGCCTAAAGGAAAGGAATTACGGAAAGAGGAAGCCATGAGTGCAAAGTCACACACAAAGCACTGTCTGTTCCAATAACCATCAGTACCTCAGGCCTGAGAAAAGAGAGGTAATCAGAGTTCAATCTGTGAAGAACTTACACTGTGGAACTTGGGCTTTATCTTTAAGGTCACAAGTTACTATTTAAGAGCTTCAAGGAAGCATGAGGTCTGATTAGAATGCTACTTTGGAAAACTTCAATCCTGGTGAATATAAAAAGTGTAATTTATCTGTAGTCCTACGACACACATTAATTTGCTTTCCTGAGCCCTCCATGGCTTTTCTGATTTCAACAAAGATCATAAAACATATCCTACTCTGGGATCCTGCCAGGGGAGGGGGCTGGGATTGACAGTTGAGGGAAACTGCCAGGGGAAGGGCAGGCACACCTCATCAACAAGGAGGTACGTACCTGCATAATGAACATCTGTATACCTAACCCTGAAATGTATCCCATATCTTTAAAATACAAAATTTTTAAGTTTAAATAAATAAATAAATAAAACATATCATACTCAAATATAAATCTAAAGTAAAGTAAGTACTTAATTTCTAATTGAGCTTAAAGGATCTCGTATAATTAGATGGAAATTATATCAGACATCCCTTAAAATCATACATGAGTATATGTGAAATGCTAGGTGTTTTGTTTTTTTACCTTTCTACTGTCGGGTGACATAGGGGTTGTTCTTCCTGGGGCAGCAAGTATGTTATTCCCACAACACTGACTACACGCAAGCTGAATGGACACACCTGCATCAAATGTTAAATGAGAATCAGGCTGAATGTTTCCTCAAGGGCATCTGTATCACAGTGGTGTTTCCAAAACATATTAAACATATTAAAGGTATAGTAAACTGTTAAGCTTACATAATGCTTTCTCTATAGTATTCCGTTAAGTTGCTAGTCACTCTAATACACTTTAAATATGACTTACCCAAATGCAACTTACATATCAAATGTTATGCAAGACAAGTAACATACTGCCTCCACTGAACATCAATGGTGTTCCATGGATAGCTTAACATAGTAATAATTTTTTAAGTATATAGACAGACATTCTACTAAATCCACCCCTAAGCTAACCATGTACCAAAGCTTACGAGATAAATACTATAAAGGAATACACAGTATTCCTGCAGTGGCTAGCTCTTTTCATAAAATGAGGGATAAATTCTCAGTCTTGAAAATCTCATTGTAATGACTGTTTCACTGTAATGAAATTCAAATTTCACTGTAATGACTGCTTTTTCACTGTGTATACAGGCATGCTCTGCTGGAATATAAAAGATTATTACAAACCTGAATGCAAACTGTGGGCCTCAAGAAATACTTCATCTTTTCCAAGATTTCTTTCTGTAGAAGATCCCATGCTATTGTCTTCTCTAAGTGCAGCACAAAAGGCAGTCCAAATCTAACACACATAAATACTGTAATCACTTTAAAAGTATAGCAACTCCTTTAATGTCATCTTTTATTCTTGATCTTAAATGGAATCACAATGCAATTAGTTTTAGGACAGTTCTCAAAATAAAATAAACAGGAAACGTAATGGTAACTTTCATAGGAAAATGAATAGCTTAGATTTCTAAATGAAATTTAATAGCTCATACGCCAAAATATCTTCTAGGGGAATATAATGCTAGGATATTAAGTGGCAAAGGGACAGGATTAATGCAGATGGTGAGAAAAAGGGATAGGAGTGGACATGAGTCTGACAAACAGCATGGGTCAAACCTGTAAGAGGTCAGGTGTCAGAGGACTAGATAGGGCTGGAAGGTCTGAAGGCAACTGTCTTGGTAGTCTTTGACAAGAGAGGCACTAGCAAGCAAGTGACACTGGAAGTCAGCTCCTACCCAAGGCCAGAGCTGTCTTTATCCCAGAGTTATCCCACAGTTGTCAGCCTCAGCTGCACACACTGGAATCACCAAAGGAGCTTCAGAAAACAATAATGGCCAAGTCCGATTCCCAAAGATTCTGATGAAATCAGTCTGGAATGTGACCTGAGCACCAAGATTTTTTTTTTTTAGATGCTCCCAGGTGATTCTGATATGCAGCCAAAGTCGAGGACCAATAGCCTTGCCTCAACTCTCATTCGTGCCTAGTCATTCCAACCTTTTTGCTGTTCCTGTTCCCTGGATGTGTACTACTCTCACATATCCCTGTCTTTGTGCAAGGAATTCCCTCAGTTTGGAATTCCCCTGTCACCCTTCTTCTAGGCTATCTCCTGCTCATCCACATGAAGACCCGCAGAGGTATTCTTCTCCAGGAAGCACCCTATTGCTTTGCTCCCTGTGTGTACTGTGCTATAAACACTTCCTGTTTCTTTTTCTACTTCCAACAATAAACTATGAGTTATTTGATAGCAAGAATTGTGATTTATTTATTTATCTTAGCTGCCCAAACAGCCAATGCCAAGAAAATATGTAAAATATGTAGATGATGAATGAATGATCTAACTAACAGATGAACTCTGACTCAGGCCAAGGTGGAAGCAGAGATCACCAAGAAACCAATTACTAACAACCATCCAACTGTTTACTTGCAGTACTACTTAATGGTGAACCTCATCCCCCTAAAAACTGAAGTGAAATGAGTTACAAGCATGTGTAATCAACCAACCATATTTTTAAAGACAATTTCTTCACTCTTAAGAGACTAGCATCATGAAAGGGATTCCACAGGGTTTTTTTTTTACTTCATTCCTTCTGTGCCTTAAACATGACAAGTTCCTTCTAGTCATAGGTGTTTGTACTGGGCGCTCCTTCTGCATGGGATCCTTTTCCCCATATGTTCACAGCTCACTAGGGCTCAGCTCCGCTGCAGTCTCCTCAGAAATGCCCTTCCTGACCTCCCTTTCTACTAACGTGATCTTGCCAGCCTCTCCACTAGCACACTCTATTCACACTGCCTGTTTTAATATCTTCAATGTAGTAAGGACTGTCTGAAGTTAAATATGTTTACTTGTTTACAGTCGGTCCATCCCAACTAGGATGTAAGCTGCAGCAGGATACAGTCCTGCCTGTCTTATTTGCTGCTGATCAGTGTTTAGAACAGTGACCAACACACTAGCAAAACTAAAATATTTGTTAACGAAGATCATAAATATATACATCAATACATTTTACATTTATGTTACTTAAAATGCAAGGAACTTATTTCAAAGCAAAAGTTTTTTTGTTTCGTTTTACAACAAATTCTTTTATTAAGACTTCCCAGACACAAGAGAACTTTTCTGCTAAAAGAGGAGAATAAAGTTCAAGGAGGAAATAACCTTTTGAAAATAAAAGAACAAGTACACTGGGACAAAGTTCACAGCAAAAGACAAGGCTGGCCACAAAATTTCCCACACCTAATGAAATTAGGAATTTTATGGTAAAACAAAACAAAACAAAAAACAGTTCTTATTCCCAGCTTTCCAAAGAAATCATTTTCAAAGTCAGATAATACATTTTCTTTTTTTTTTAAATCAAAGCAAAATTTTAAAAGGGCTACACGACAATACACATATGAAATGAGTCTTTAAAAACTAGGTGAGCTTTAAGAGCTTTTCCATCTAAGATTCTATTACCCTAATTTTATACTCTCCCACATTCACAACCCCCCAAATCAGATCAACTTGTACATATATTCTTTCTAAATATCAGAATCAAAAATTAACTACTAAAAGTAAGGATTTTTCACCCCCTCCTCTTAAAACGTTTGAAAATACTGGACTTATACACGCTCTGTACTTACTGGAAAATAAGTTGATTTTTACCTTTTCCCTTGCTGCCCAGTGCAGGCTCGGTTACACACCAACAAGACAATCTTGTCACTTCCTGCTCTTGTGCTGGGAAAATCCATTTTCCCTTGCTTTGCTGATGTGTGTGTAGGGGAAGACAGTCTATGATGATCCAAGCCAAATTTCAGGTGGTTTAAATTGTTGTTTAAGTGAATTCCTGAAATAGAATAAAAACAACTTATTTTATCTCTTAAAATTATTTTCACTCATTCATTACAAATAAACTTACCCAGAGAAAATTAAAAACTGTCATTATGTAATTTAAACTGCAATACAAAAAAAAGAACAGCTGGGCTCGGTGGCTCAGCCTGTAATCCCGCGCCTTTGGGAGGCTGAGGTGAGTGGATTGCCTGAGCCCGCGGGTTTGAGACCCACCTGGGCAGTGAGACGTCATCTCTACAATAAATAAAAAAATCAGCCGGGTGTGGTAGCGTGTGCCTGTAATTCTGGCTACTCGGAAGGCTGAGGCAGAAGGATCGCCAGAGCCCAGCAGGTCGAGGCTGTGGTGGCCAGGAGCGGCCACTGCACTCCAGTCTGGGCGACAGAGTGAGACTCCAACTCAAGAACAAAATGTCTAGTTAGATTACTCGTCTAGACATTGAGAAAAATTCTTTAGTATTCATTATTTCCTTTAAACTAGCCTTACCTGTCTTAAAAACAAAAAATCAAAACTCTACACTCACTGAATGTTAAATACAGTTTTAGAAGGGCAAGTTTGCTGAGATAATTAACCAAAAAATTTAAAGTGAGACCATGCAACCAGCATTCAAATTAAAGAAAAAATAAAGATGAAGCCTGGGTGCTATGACTCACACCTATCATCCCAGCACTTTGGGAGACCGAGGTGAGGTGGGAGAATCACTTGAGCTCACGAGTTTGAGACCAGCATAGGCAACATGGTGAGACACTATCTCTACAAGAAAATTGTAGTCTCAGCTAATGGGGCGGGAGGGGTGGCGGGGGTGGGGAATCAGGTGGGAAGATCCCTTGAGCACAGGAGGTCAAGGCTGCAGTGAGCTGGGATCACACCAGTGCACTTCAGCTTAAATAAATAAATAAATAAGCGAGCATGTGGAATGGTCTTCAATGTTCAATAGCTGTTTCTTCTCCTTAATTAAAGTGCCAGACTTAAAAGACAAACTATACTTACTTAGACCCATTATGAGAATATTCCAACTTGAATAAAATCAACTAGACTGGATCAACCCACATTAAGGTAAACAAAAAAATATGTTTGACAGGCACAGTTCTGATGTCAAGAATGACCCAAAGCAAAGTTCCCTGTCATTCAAAGCTACCCAGCAATTCAGCACCTGGCACAACACCCTGCACTTAGTAGGAATTCAATAAATGCCTGATTAAATACCTGTTCATTTCTTTAATCTTTTGGAAGCATAGTCCAAAGAAATAATATACCAGCTGGTGAAAACAACCACCACCATAAATAATAATAACACCAAAAAGAGAATTAAATAAAAATGGCTGACACAAAGTATTCACTGCAGAATTCTGGTAATAACGTAAATATCCAACAATACAAGACCTGCTGACCCTATTAAGATACCTCAGTATTATAACAATTCACAATGATGAGTACATAGCTAATAACAATATAAATTTCAGAAAGAGTTCACACACACACACACACACACAGAGAGAGAGAAAGAGATATAAAATAAGGGAAAATTGACAACAACAGAAATCTGAATGATCTCATTTTTCAGATTCTTGGCAGAGATAAAGGTAGGAAGACCTGTTTTCCTACAAGTGATCAGGATTCCCAACGACATGAGGGGCTGCCACTCACCTGCATAGAAATCAAGCTCTGTTCAAACTATGGACCCATTTACTACCAGCTGTGTGACCCGGGGGCAATTACTTAACCTCTAAGTCTCAATTCCCTCATTTGTAACCTGTGGAAAGTAGTAGCCTTATATGTACTGACCAAACATTTGAAAGGCCTTTAGAACAGAGGATAACACACACTCAATAAGTGACATATTTTTCCAAAAAAGGAACTCTGGCTAGACTACAATAACCTTTGGATTTACCAAATTCACTTACAATAGAGAATCAGGGTTAACCCTAAGCAAGTGGAGAGGGAAAGGGGTTTTGAGAAATTTTCAGTTGACTGAATGTCTGTCTAAGATAACCAACCAAGAGGTTTAGGGATGAACTGGTAAAAATGCACAGAAAACTAAAGTAGACAAACCACACAAGAAAATTATTAATTCCAGAAAAAACAAAATGACATAAAGGAAATGAAAGCTTTTGACATAATCATAAAAATATAAACACTAAATATTGCTCTAATCAAATCATGATGAAACTATGTTGAGAGGATGGACAGATAAGAATGTGCAGTATGGTAGGAATAGGAGGAAAAATCTAAATCTTCCTTAGAAGTCAATGGATAATGCCTAAAACCAAAAGATCAATGGAAGTCAATGGATAATGCCTAAAACCAAAAAAATGTGAAAGCAGTAATGTTATTTAAGACATAGAAGTAAATACAAAAATAAGCAGCTAAAAGAGGTGAAAGTGGTTGCCTCTAACGAGGGGCAAATGACAGTGGAGATGGAGCAGGTTTACTGCTTTTCACAACAAACTTGTAGGACTTTTCAAACTCTGAGTATATATAACTTAGAAAAAGTAACTTTTAACCACAAAGAGATTTATATCCTTAAACAAGGGCTATTGTAAAAAAGAAGCAAACAGAGAAGAAGGTAATTTTAGAAATGAAAACTGCTTAAATAAAAATTCATCAAGCCTCTACTGAATAACAGAAGGGACACTGCTAAGAACTAAACTAAAAAATTAGAAGATCAATTTGGAAAATTATCCTAAAATATAGCATTAAAATAAAAACATACTAGACCAAGGAATTCAAGCATGGTTCAGTATTAAAATAATCTATTTAAATCATGTCATCATATGAATAAACAGAAGAGGGAAACTGACAGGCAGGATAGTATGATGGTTAGAAAAAGACCAGCAGCAAGAATGCCGAAATTCTGGCTCCATCATTTCCTAGCTGACGATGTGTCTTCAATTTTTTCATCAGAAATTTGAGAATAATCATACAGGTTGAGCATCCTTAATCTAAAAAGTCCAACATTCAAATCTTTTTGAGCACTGACACAGCACCACAGGTGGTGAATTCCACACATGACCTCATGTCAGGTTGTAGTCAAAATGCAGCCAAAATTATGTTCCATACACAAAATTGTTTAAAATATTGTATAATATTACCAAGCTATGTGCATAAGGTGTCTATGAAACAAATGAATTGTGTTTAGATTTGGGTCCCATTCTGAGGTTATCTCACTATGTATATGCAAATATTCCAAAATCTGAAAAAAGTATGAAATCTGAAACACTTCGGGTCCTAAGAATTTTGGATAGAGGATACTCAACCCGTAGTAGCAAGGTTGAGGTTTAAGTAAATTGATACATGTTAAATATGGAGAATGCTGCATGTAGGGTAAAAAGAAAGCATTCAATTAATATCATCATCTTGATATACTTGATCAAATGCCTTTTCAGAATCTTAACATTCACTCCTGGTTAAAACCCTTAGTAAACTAGAAATAGAAAAAAAAAAACATAAATAACACCTATTCCAACAGCAAATATCATGCTAATTAAGTACTAGAAGCACTCTCATCATAGTCAAAAAAAAAAAAAAAAGGTAAAGATGCAACCATCGTTAATTCATCAAGATTCCCAAATTTCTAGCAAATGCAGTAAGGTCAGAATAAAAACTAAAGTATATAACTACTAGACAGCAAAAGATAAAACTATCATCTGTAGATTATATGATTCTCTAGAAAACAAAGAAAACCAACAAAAGTCAGTAAATAAGAGTTTAGTATGATTACAACCAAATTTAAAAGTAACTATACAAAAATCAATAACTTCCTTAATATCTGGTCAAAGCATATAATGATGGTAGGGTTACTACTCAGAACAGCAACAAAACATGTAGGAATAACCTTGAAATGTATGGGACCAGAAGGAAAAAAAAAATCATAAAAATTTCCTCAAAACTTCATAGTTTTCTATGAATAAATGGATATACCATGTTCCTGAGTAAGAAGTCTCAATACTGTCAAGGTGACAGCCTCTTGCGGTTAATGCTACATACACATTAAATCCAATCTTAAAAGTATCATTATAGGAACTTGACAAAATTATTCTAAAATACATCTTACAAGTATAAATATTCAAGAAGATCCATAAAATTTAGAAACTGAACAATGGAGAAGAAAAGAATTTTGTTGAAAGTAATAGTTTTTTTATCTTTCCACTAAGTCAATGGTTAGTAAGCCTGGCAGCACATTAATATCACCTGGAGAGTTTGTTTTCTTTTTGTGCATTTGTTAATTTGCTTTTAAAGATGTGGCAAAAAAGGAACACCTCTAAACTGTTGGTGGGAGTGTAAACTAGTACAGCCTCTGTGAAAAACAGTGTGGCGATTCCTAAAACGTCTAAAAATCGACCTCCCATATGACACTGTAATTAATCCCTCTACTGGGAATATATCCAGAGGAACTCAAATCACTCTAGGAAAAAGATACCTGCATGCACACACGTTTATTGTAGCATTATTTACAATAGCAAAAACATGCAATCAACCATGCTGCCCGTCGAAAGAGGACTGGATTAAAAAACGTGGCACATATACATGATGGAATATTATGCAGCCACAATGAAGGACAAAATTATGAACTTCGCAGCATCTTGAATGGACTTAGAGGCTATAAAACTGAGTGATCTATCACAGAAACAAAGAATTGAGTATCACACGTTCTCACTCATAAGCAGATCTTGAATAACTATTGTAATACTACTATAAGAAAGGGGTTGGCAGTAGGGGGAAACTGCCAGGGGAGAGGGAGTCACACCTCATCAACAAGGGTACCTGCATAGTGAACGTTTGTATACCTAACCCTGACTTGTACCCTACATATTTAAAATTAAAAAGACCAATGCCCAGCCCTTACCCTCAGAAACACTGACTTAACTGATCTAAGCTCAGTTCCAGACATGCGTTTTCTTGTTTTTTAAGCTTCTCAGATGATTCTGGAATGCAGCCTAGGTTGAAAACAACCCTTGAAAAAGGTTTCCAAACCATTACTGATGACTGCCCAAACT